CGCCGGAGCCCCGGCCCTGGGCTCCCAGCTAATGGCAGCATGAGCCCTGATGCCCCCTGCCCTGCCCACACCTCCCTCCCGCCTCACTGGAACTCCCCTGCCAGCAGAGCCCCCTGGGAAGCCCTGCTGCCCCTCAGCCTGCTCACTTCCCCCAGGGCCCCTAGCTGGCCCTCCCCAGGAGGCGTGGGGACCCCCGTGCAGCCCGAGCAGGCTCTGTCTCAGGGGCTCGTGGTTTGGTGGGGATCTGGGGACTGAGGCCCTGTCGCTGATGCCGGGGCCTGAGAGGTCTCTGGGCAGCAGGAAGCCTGGCGTGAGGGGAGGGGGCGCTGAAGTGGAGCAGGCTGGGCTTTGGGGTGAGGGCTGGTGGTCGAAGGCCTGGCGTGAGGGGCTGTGGGGACAAGGACAGGCCTCTGCCCCCCGGCCGCCTGCCACCAGGTGTTCACGCTGCCCAAGGTGAGCGCCAAGACCAAGTTCAAGCTGACGGCCCACGAGGGCTGCCGCGTGCGCAAGGTGGCGCTGGCCACTTTCACCAGCGTGGCCTGCGAGGACTATGCCGAGACCTGCCTGGCCTGCCTGACCAACCTGGGCGACGTGCACGTGTTCTCCGTGCCCGGCCTGCGGCCCCAGGTGCACTACCCCTGCATCCGCAAGGAGGACATCAGCGGCATCGCCTCGTGTGTCTTCACACGCCACGGCCAGGGCTTCTACCTGGTGTCCCCCTCGGAGTTCGAGCGCTTCTCCCTGAGCGCCCGCAACATCACTGAGCCACTCTGCTCTCTGGACATCAGCTGGCCCCATGGTGCCACCCGGCCCAGGTGTGTGACCGGGCCGGGTCTCCTCCCTGGGTCTGCCCTCCCTGGTGTTACCCCCGTCTGGTCCCCAGCTCAGCAGTGGGCGGGCGCTCCAGCCACCAGGAGCTGAATGTGGTCCCCATCATGTCCTGTCTCTGTGGCTCCAGGCTCCGAGAGTCGCCCAAGCTGAGCCAAGCTAACGGGACCCCGAGCATCATCCTGGCCCCTCAGAGCTGCGATGGAAGCCCCGATCCCACCCACAGCAAGGGAGCTGGTGAGGGGCCCAAAATGGGGGCAGGTGCTGGCCTGACAGTCCTGTGGGGGGGCCAGGACACAGCGCTCAGATCCGGGCAGGAGCGGGTGGGTGTTGGCTGTGGCACCATTAGGCCCCAGGCCCCTTCATGTGGGGGTGCTGAGGGACCTCGCAGGAGCTGATCACACCCTCCCTGCAGACACCCCAGAGCTGCCCGAGGCCACCCTCTCGCCCATGTCCGTCGACTCGGCCACCAGTGCTGACACCACGCTAGACACGACAGGGGATGTCACGGTGGAGGACGTGAAGGATTTCCTGGGGTGAGTGGGGGTGGGTCCATAGGAGGGACTGCCCATCTCCCACTCCCTCCTGGGGCCTGAGCCCTGCTCTCTGACCCCCACTCCAGCGCTTCGGAAGAGTCCGAGCAGAACCTGAGGAACCTGGCGGAAGATGAGGCCCGAGCCTGCACCATCCTGATCAAATGAGGTGCTACAGGGCCGGGGCCTAGTCTGTCCTCACTGCCCTGGGCTCCCCGAGAGGGTGGCACTCCCTGAAGCCTAGGGGTTGATGCCCTGGCTGTTGCCAGGGGGTACCCTAGTGGGGCTCTTCCAGGGTGTCCTGGCAGGGGTCTCCCACAGCCCGATTTCCGTAGCTGAGGATCACAGGCAAGCAGCCCGTTGGCCTGTAGATGTCAGGGGTGGCAGGACAGGCCCTGGCTAGGCCAGCACCCAGCGGTGGCAGCCTGGGGCACCTCACAGGCGAGGTCTCTGAAGTGACAAGGGCATTTCTGCTGGATGAAGCCAGTGCATCCAACCCAGCCCAAGGCCCAGCAGGCACGCCCACCCGGGACCGGCGGGTCTGGGACTAGGTTCTGCCCAGCTGATCCGCCCCCTAGCAGCCCTCTGCTTACACAGGGCGCAGCGCCCTGGGCCCCTTCTGCCTTGTGCAGGGGTCACCGCTGCCTCCCTGCTGCCCTCTGCAGGCCGGATGGGGCCCAGCACCTGCACACCTGGCCTCCGCCTTCACTGCCACTGAAGGACCCAGCCCGTGGTGGGGGTGGGGGAGCGGTGCGCCGCGGGCCTGGGCTGCGCTGGGCTGCGGCGGGAAGGCCTGCTGACCCGCTTTCTCCCTCACCCAGGGAGCCAGTGCCCTCCAGCCACGCCTACCCACGGAGCTGGGGCCAGGATCCTGGCCCCAGACAGCCCTGCACCTGCTAACCATGGGCTGTGGGGGACTGGCCGTCCCTGCCCAGGCAGTCCGAGCCCTCCCGGCCCCTTCCACCCCACCTCAACCCTTGCAGAGAGTATTTTTCTAACGCCCGGGCTGGGCTGGACATTCGTTTCTAAAACTATTTTGGTACTTGCTCCTGGGCCAGCCCCTCAGCCTGCATGAGTGTGAGAGAGACTGGGAGCCCTGCTGGCACCCCCGCTCGGCCCAGCCAGGGCAGTGTATGTGTGTGTGTGTGTGTGTGTGTGTGTGTGTGTGAGAGAGAGACTGGGAGCCCTGCTGGCACCCCTGCTCGGCCCAGCCAGGGCAGTGTGTGTGTGTGTGTGTATGTGTGTGTGTTTGGCGTGAGGATGGTTTCCCTGTAGATTGTACCGCGGGTTTTTTTTTCTGTCATTTTGTTAAAATTAGTGCCATTTTAATATTAAAAATACTGATTTTTTTAATATTGAAAATAAAAGCATTTAATATCTCTTAAAGGAGGACCACATCTGCTTTCTCCCGGGCAGGGAAGGAGGGGCAGTGTGCGTGTGCTCACACCGGGGGAGTGCGGTTTCCGCCCCCAGAGGTGCTGCTGGGGGCTGTGTGCTGCTGGGGACCCTGGCCCCGGGGGTGGCGGGGCAGGGGCTGTCACCTGTGCACGTTCTCCGCCAGCTGGCGGTAGACAGAGGGCACTGCCTCTTCCCCACCCAGGGCCGTGGGGCTGCTGGGCCGGGCCGGGCCTAGGCCAGGGCCTTGCGGAAGGTGCTCCAGGCGTGGAAGCAGCGGGTGAAGGCGTGCTGCTCGTTGCCCTTGCGGACCAGGCGCAGGCGACGGGGCTGCTCCCGCTCTTTGGAGCGCATGTGCTGGATGTACACCTGGGGACGAGGGCAGGGCTGTGAGGGCCGTGAGCAGGGCCGCCCCGCCGCCCCCAGGCTCGCCCCTCCCTCCTCACCTGGCAGGCCTTCAGGCTCAGCTTGATCTCCACCTGGCTCGTCTGGGTCCCCACCCACATGTACACCTGTGGGGACAGCAGGGGTGATGCGGGAGCCCCTCCGTGGGCCTGCTCCTCACGGGCTGGGAGGGGTCCCGCCTCACCTCCTGGCCGTTGTCCAGCAGCATGATGTCGTCGTCTGCCAGGTCATCTTGGCAGAAGTCTGAGCACTTCTCCGTCACCGCAAAGTAGCCCTTCTCATTGGAGCACCTGGGGGCACGGCCGGGCTGAGTCAGGGTCCCGCGCAGCCTGAGTGAGGGGCGCGGTCGGGGCGGGCCCTGGCTCACCGGAACAGCCGCGTGTGCTTCATGTACTCGGCATCGTCGTCGTAGGGCTTCTGGGCCCCAATGCCCACCCAGAAGAAGTTCTCCGGCTCCTCGCCCTCGTTGATGACCTGCGGGGGAACGGTCAGTCCGGCCCAGGGCCCCTGCCTGCCCCGCTCGCTGCCTGTCCACCACCCAGGTCACCTGCTTGCTGTAGGAGGCATCGAACATGGTGTTGAGAATATCTTCCGCCAGCTTGGCTTCGTCAGGGTCAGATGCCCGGCCCACCCACGCGTACACAATGCCCTGGTTGTCCTCACTCTCAAAGGGGACCTGAAAAGCGGGAGGCGGATCTGAGTCACTCCCACCCTGGACTCTACTTTGGTCCGCTGTCCTGACCACATCCACAAACCCACCTTGAGGATGAAGCAGAATTCGGAATTGAGAAGGCTGGAGTCCGTGTTGATCTGGATGCACCTGGGGGAGTATCGGGGGGTGTCAGCAGGGACTGGTCCCTGCAGCCAGTTCCCTGACCCCCACCGGGCACCCCGCGGGTACCGGGTGCAGAGAGCACTGCCGTTGGTGCGGATCTGGTAGAGGCTCGGTTGCGGGGCGCCCTGGGCCACCTTCCTCTTGCCCCGGTGGATAATGAACTTCCTCTTGAAGTGGGACAGGAACTTGGGGTTCTCCTGCTGCTGTGTCATGCGGACCACCTGGGAGAGGAAGCGGCAGGGGCAGCTCCCTGGGCCCAGCCCCCCTGAGATGAGTCCCACCCCCTCGGCTGTGGCAGAGGTGGGCCCACCTCCAGCTTGCCCGGGAAGAGGCTCTCGAACTTCTTCTGCAGGCTGAAGGTGAAGGTGAGCCAGCCCATGTTGGAGGCCTCGCGGCCCTGCCAGAAGTACACGATGCACTGGAAGTCCTCCTCGGGCTGCTTCTCCTCGGCGGCCTCCTCGCCCTCCTTCCCCTCGGCGCCCGCCTTCTCCTCCTTGTCCTTCTTCTCCTCCTCCTCCTCGTACTCCACAGGCACCCAATACCTGCGGGGTTGGAGGGTTGGAGGGAGGTGAGCAGGGGATACTCGGAGGCCTCGGCCCAGCTAGGGAGGCGCGCGCGGGGCCACACCTGCAGAGGAAGACGTAGCAGTCCTGCGTGTAGAAGTGGCCGAACTCCTCCTCCGGCAGCCGCGCGAACTTCTTGCCCTCCAGCACGAAGCCCTCCATGCCGTCCAGGTCCTCGTTCCACTCCTCCATCAGCTGCTCCGCCTGCAGACGGCAGGTCTCAGCGTCCCCTGCGCACAGGCCCCGCCCCTGCGACCCTAGCCCGACCCAGGCCCCGCCCACCTCTGCCAGCGCCATGGGCGGCTGCCGGGGCAGGAAGAGCGCGGTGAGGTCAGCCTTCATCTGGTCTTTCTTCTCGGCGTCGCGCTTCACCTTCCCAGAGAGACCCGGGCCCTGCAGCACGGCCTCCGCGTTGCGCGTGTAGTCCACCGTCAGCACGTCGTCCCAGTTCTTAAACTTGGCTTTGAACACCTATGAAGGGGTGGAGGGCGCCCACGAATCGGAGGGGGTCTAGCAGGGTTAGGGTCCAAGGCTGGGAAAGAGGGGTGGGGACCACCTAGGCAAGGGGCGGCCCAGACAAGTGGGAGGGGCAGGCTGCAGGGGGCAGGGCTTGGGCGGTGGTCTGGGTAGAGGCGGCGCTTTGGGGCGGGGTTCTGAACGGTTCTGCAAACCCAGCCCCAGCTGATCAGGGCACGACCGGTCCCCAGGAGGCCTCTGCGCAGGGACGCACCTGAGCCTCGGTGCCCTCGAGGCTGCGGCTGACCGTGGCGTGGCGCGGCCGGTGCAGCATCCCGCACAGCTCCTGGCCCAGCTTGAGCGCGGCAGCGCGCACCAGGCGCGGAGACTTGCGGCCAAGCCAGATGAACACGTCGGACCAACAGTCCAAGATGTACACGCAGCGTGTGTCCAGCAGGCTCTGCAGCTGCGGGGCCAGGGGCTGGAGGTCAGCCGCCGGCCGTCGGGAGGGCCCTGGTCGTACTCCGCCCCCACTCCCGGCGGCTTACCAGGCGCATTCCTGGCATCAGCTCCACCTTGGGCCGCTTCTTATGTTCCACCGAGAGCTTGTAGTTGATCTGCGGCAGCTCCAGGTAGCCCAGGCCCAGGCCCACCTAGCAGGAGGAGGAGACTGGCGTGGCCAGGAGGCTCCTGGGGGCCCTGGCTCCCCCACAGCAGCCCCTTCTCGGTGTGTGGGGGCTCTCACTGGCTGCTCCTGTTCCCATCCCACCCTGGGCACTGGCTGCTCCTGTTCCCATCCCACGCTGGCGGCAAGGCTTTCGCACTGTGCTTGCCCTGCCTGTCTGCTCCCTGCTGTCCTGTCATTTTCACAAAGAAGTTTATTTCTTCTACAGACAGGGACACCCCCAACAGGGTCTTCCTGCCACCAGGTGCATGCCGCCCAGTCTCAGCCGGCCTAGGCAGGGCAGGGACCCTGGATGCCACCACCTAGCCGCTGTCGTTTCTTTTCTTTAAATAATTCTTTATTTAAAAAAATATATTTTATTTAACTTTTTAAAATTTATTCATTTATTTTAATTTGACTAGAGAGGGACAGAGTGAAAGTGACAGAGAGAGGAAAAGTGAGAAAGCAAGCCGCCATGTCTGGGACTCAAACCGCAGTGGGCCATGTAGGAGTTC